CCCCAAAACCCCAAAACCCCAAAACCCCAAATTAGAATTTAAGGTTGAAGTAATATTATATTTTTACAATAATTATGGATAAGTTCTGGAAATGGACAAATATGAAGGTTAATGCAATTGATATGTTCTCCAAACCTGTGAGCTTGACTCATCAGAAAAAAGAGAAGTTCACAACCTTCTTTGGTGGCATGATCACTGGTATATTAATCTTAGGGTTGATAGCTTATGGCATTCAATTATCTATACAGATGTTTACAAGATCAGCTACAAGTATGTCAAAGAATGTCATTAAGAGAGACCAGATCTTGGTGACTGATTATTATAATTTGGGTGATGAAGAACTCAAATTTGCAGTTTCTATGGTAGATTCTCATACAATCAGGGGATTTACAGATCCCACTTATTTCAATTTGTCTGCTTATCAATTTGATTATTCTAATGACTTCAAATCAGGCACTGTAGCTTTTAACACAACTGAAGTTGAAATGGGCATTTGTGGGGAAAATTTTCCTAGAGCATCTGAAAAAATAAATGAATTCAGAAAATATGTTGCAAATGCTACGTACTGCCCGGTGAGCTCTAATTTTTCTGTTGGGGGCAGCCTTTTATTGAACAAGGAGAAAAAGGTTAAAATTCATATTCATATGAAAACCTATCAGTGAAATCGAAGCCAAAGCCAGAGATATTGATGGCATTATCATTGTTAGCTCTAAGTACTTTGACCTTGATGATTATGACACCCCAATCAAGAAAATTATTGATGATCAATTCTATTTTCGGATGTCTTCAGGTATGAGAAAGTATGGAGTATTGAATGTTAAAAAGAGTGTAGTATCTCTTTCAGATAGCATATTCCCATTTAGTTCAGAAACAAAACAATCATTCTTGTCAATTGATGATTATCAACAAGATGGGAAGATAACATATCAGGGAGACCCACTTCTAATGGATTTTGAATTCAGACAAGACCCCATTGTTGACTCATACGAGCGTAGAGTGTATTCCATTCTTGATCTTTTTGGCCAGCTTGGAGGTTTCTTCGAAGTACTCGCTATATTTGGTGGAGCCCTTGTTCACTATTTCGCATCACAAATGTACAGTTACTCATTGTTCACTCATTTGTATTGACTTAATGAAGCTGATGCACATACTACAAGCGATGAATCCCAGATTGCTCCGAAACAATCGAAGAATTTCAAAGCAGTCACTTGAAAGCTAAATTCGAAAAACAAAACTCTCTTGCAAACAATTGAGTCCAGAATCAACTCAAAACGAAGATTCCATTTTACAGCCAAAGACTACTTCAAGTCATTAATGACATGCTTCAAAAGTAGAGCTCGCTCTGAGTTTACAGTTCTCAGCGACAAACTTGCAGACGAGTGAGACCTGACATCTGTTGTGTGTTCGATGCGGCATCTCAAAACACTGATGAAACTGATTTTGAGCGAGCACCAGGCACTGATGATGGACTTTGACTGCAGAAGTAATTATCTTCACAAAGGCTCCACTTACGATTTGTTTACCAAACCGAGTTATTTTCCTTCAGCTACACAAGAGCTCTCCAAAAATGCCAAAACTAAAATATCTACATTATTAAAGAAGCTACAGGAATTAGAGCATGCCAAGCTTGAGAAAGACGCTAATATCATTCTTGGGATCCCTCCAAAATCTTGTCCACCAGTCGATCAGATTGAAGGTTCAACTCTATTTTGTAGAAACAGGACTCTCGACCACAAGAAGGAAGAGTCGATTGTGGGATTTCTTGAAGAAGATAAAGACAATTCTGAGAATCTGAAGCAAGAAAAATTTTATGAAGATTAGTATTCTTGTGGATGAAGTTAAATTAAAAGTTTGATTCAGCTTGAGTCTGTGTAGTTGGGGTTTTGGGGTTTTGGGGTTTTGGGGTTTTGGGGTTTTGGGG